GGCTTTGATCTCGCGGACGGAGGGGTGCGTATGCTGGCTCGCGTATGGTGCCGATTTGACATGCGGGGGCGCCGCCGGGATACAAAGATGTTTACGCTGGTTAGCGCGCTTTTTGAAGGCGGCGGCTTTGCTCAGTCTGCCGCCTGTCGTGTTCTATGTATCGGCGATAATTGATGTTTTTGGACTCGTACGGGGGAATGGATAGGCACATATGTTTGGTTGTCTGAAAAATGTAATAGGTTTTGCCATTTGGGTCGTTGCTGTGTAGCTTTGTTTTTCTTGAAAGTTGACTGACCCGAAAGGCGGGGAAACGGGAGGTTGGTCGGTAGATGAGCCTATAAAAGGGGGTTCGGGAACAAAGAAGGTAGTCCAACCCCAGAGCTGGCCGGGTCGCTACTCAACGCGGTTACTCCCTGCAGATGAGTCTTGGAACGTGTATTTTTTGGCTTCTGCCCTGCCTGTCGGACAAGTGCTTGAGTTTGTTGTGCTGAAGCGTGTGTAGCTGTGTGGTGCGCGGTGTCGACCTCATCAAGCCTCTAATTGGACCGCTGGACTTCGAGACGCCGTTCTTCGGCCAACAACTCCAGACTACGGACTGCTCTGGGCTCGGCACCTACCGGAAAGCTAAGCCTGGTTTTCTAGGACTCGTCTACTGCATTCTCTGGCTCTGAAGTACGAATTGTTGAATGTTGGGAAGATTTTTACACAGTGCTACTTTCTGTCGCGACTGTTTTGGGGGATTATCCCATGTGTGTAGCGGTAACGTTCGAGCTCCATCTCGGTTTGCTCTCATTGTTAGTGTCGGGTTTTCGTCACTGTTTTGTTGGCTTATTCCGGTTTTATGAGCGTCGAGTCTTTTTAGCATTAGTTTCTGGCTCGCAGGGCTCCATAGCTTTGAGCTGGAGTGTGGTTTGTGTTGAGTGCTCTATTGCCATGTACAGCTTAGTTTTTCACTTTATTAAATCTAATCTTTTGTTTGCTTATCCTCCCTGTGTCATCATCTTTCTCTACTGATTATACACCAGGCGTGGACCTAGCGCTAGTCAATGGTCGAACTTAACTCTCTTGTTCTTTTCCCGTAATTTCTCGTTTATTCTCAGAGTGGATCATTCAATTATTTTTATTAATTTGAACCCCACTCCGTGACACCGAAACAGATGGGAAAGCACCACAACGTATTAAACTCGTCGAACATTAAATGTTCTTGAATTATACCTCACCCATGCTTGCTACGTGATGAAGCCCAAAGGTTAGTTCAATGCCAATCAATATTAAATGTCTTTAGATGGGCACCTGCTGCCCGATCATGGCCTTTATTGCAAAGCACTGTTCACACATTTGCGAGTCCTGCAGTGCCTTGTGGAATGGTGGGCGATACTTGCCGTTCCGCAAGGCACTGCAAGACAGATCAGGCTCAACTTTTGAATGCCGACGTGCTTACGGAATGCTGCAGCAAACCAATCATTCGCCGAGGGAAAAAGAAAGGAAGCTGCATGCCTCCGTGTGCTCATTGCCAGTGTTTTCTGCTCTGCTATGTACCCTGCTTGTGTGCTGTGATTCGCAAGCCAGCGCGGGATATATTTCCTTGATTTGTTTGTCTGTTCAGCTGTGCGAGGTTGTGATTGAAACAACCAAGAAGTATAGACCGCCATTCTTTTCATCAAGCTAAGGCTTCGCTCATCCGAACCGGGGACGATGACTGCTGTTGTTTACACGACTTTCGACAGCTATGTGGAGTGGCTTTGTGTTTAAAATTGAAATCCTAAGTGCAAAAAGAAGTTACCGCAGACTATATTGTTAAAGGTTGATTTCAACTGGCAGGCTCTGGCTACAATCACCTTAATATTCATTCAACATTGTTTGCATTTCTACTTACCCGTGATCGCTTCATTTGCCAAACACGTTAGTGGCCGGTCACCTTACCAATGAAACTAATGTGCTGGTGTCTCCGGCGAAGAATTCCCTCAGGGCTACATGCAATGCACACCCCAGTTTGTAGCCCGTTGTGACTGAAAGCTTTCACACTAAGGAAACGTTGTTGTCACAAACGCAGTCAAAGAATGCGATAGGATTGAGGGAACAGGGGGATTGTCCAAGTTGACTGACTGCATGAGGATATGTTTCTATCGCCACCGTGTTTCCTCCACGCAGGCGACGGAGAAAACGATAAAAAGACTCCTCGCGCTTGCCAATGCCAAGTTTCTCTAAAACGTCGAAATACGAGACACCCAGCAGCGAAGTGTCGATATTGCCGGAGAGAGCGGCGGGACAACGATCAGCGCAGGATCGCGGCTTCGCCACTCTTATGCGACGGTGTCTTCGGTTTCCGCTCTCTGCAGCTTCCACCGGGACGCTAGCCGTGCCTAATTGTGCTAGCTTTGAGCACCACAGTTCATAGGGTTCACAGCGCCCGAGCGAAAGCTCGCGCAAAAGAACCGGCGAGCAGTCGAGTCGTTTCCAATCGACGGGGTGGCTAAACGCCGGTTGTGTGAATCGGGCTTAACGCCTGAGCCGGCTTGCTCAAAGCAAATCTAACGTTGTTGAATGTCATGTAATACAAATCTGAGACGTGCTACATTCTATACAAACTTGATAAAAAAAATCAAACACTCACCTTCGGCTGCTACGTCCTCCGTACCGCTTCAAGGCAGAAGCAACATGGCGCTCGACGTTTTGGGGTGTTGGGCTGGGGTGTTTTCAGTGTTGCTTACACGCCTAGTTGTGTAAACCGAAACCGAAACACCAATTTTTACTACCCCAAGTAATTTTTTGACGATTTATGACTAGCAGAGCGTGTAAAAATATGCTAACGAGTGAAAATGGGGTGTAAACAGGCGAAATATTACATTTTCGCTAACAGTGTAGCTATACATATGCATAAATAATTTCAGATTAAAATAAGCTCGACCACGCCCTCTTTCCCCGTATTGATTCCTTTAACAGTCCGAAATACCTGCAAGAGAGAGAAGGAGGCTGAAGCCCCCCCCCTCCCCCCCCCCCCCCCCCCCCCCCCCCGCTACCCTCTTTCCCCCCGTTTTTCCTCTTCCGACGTCACTTGTATGGTAGAACGCTCCTCGACCTCGAGTTGTGTCGGCTTTTGTGCTTTTCGCGAGGCGATTCCTCCGTCCCAGAAAATAAACCTCCAGGACAATTATAAACATCACCGGATCGGATTACTACCAGCGTGCAAGGGGTGGCGAGCTAGTTTGCCAGGTCGCTTCAAGGTTTTTCTGAGCCTCAACCTCCTGCTCGCCCCTGGCCGTTTCGAACTGGATGAGTCTCGTAAAACAGTGTGTTCGAGCAATCACTACTGCCATAGCCTCCTCTATACGGAGAAAGCCTGGCGCGTCGCGTGAAAAGACGGCCGCCGTAAATGGGAAAGGAGGGGCGGAGAAACGGGAGCGGAGAGAACCTTGCCCGCTAGCGCCACAAAAGAGCGAGCGGCCAAACGCAGAAACAATCTTTTTTTTTTCTCTCTCTTTTCTTGTCGCTATCGTGGAGAGGAGAAACTCAACGTCCACCCTTTCCCGTTTCTCCCTGCGCCCTTATGAATCGCCGCGCCCGTTTCTCCCGGAGTACAAAAAGGACGGTGACGAAAACACAAAAACAAGCGTGGTTCGGGGAGCGGCCGCTCATGACCCAAGCGCTCGCTGTCTAGGTCTGCCCTTTCTGCTCTGCGCTACCATATTGGTCACCGTTCGGCGCGCTCCTCCTCTCCTTTTTCCTGCGGCCGCGCGCTCTATGGCTCCGTCGTCGATGTGCCAGGCTTTCTCCGTATAGAGGAGGCTATGCTACTGCGTGATGCAGGTTAAACCCCCCCCCCCCCCCCCCCCCCTGGCGGCTGCCGGTCACAATTCTGCACTGGCAAAAGTCCGGGACACTCGTCGTCTCATTTAATTGCCTGACCAACTTCGCAGAATCTGGATATCACACCCTAACTTTTCTAAACTTGATTTTGTGAAAATAGGTGAGTCGTGAAAACGTTATTTGAAACTGAAACTGTGGAAAAACTTGAAAATCGGACTTCGAACTTTGAAAACTTGGATTAGAAAGAAATTCAAATTCTTCGAAGTTTTTTCGTTTTTTTTTTTTAATTTAGCGTTAAAAGAGAATCGAGACCTTCGAACTTTTCGAACTTTATGCAAGAAGAAATTCGAAATCTTCGATTTGTTCGAACTTCATGTCTATAAAAATTCGAAGCGTTCGAAGTTTTCGAATTTTTTCTACAAAGAATTTCGAAATCTTCGAATTTATCGAACCTGAAGTAAAAAATATTCGAAATATTCGAATTCGAAATTTCAGAAACCGTGAAAGCTTCGAAATTTTCGAATTCGAAACTCCGCTGTGGTCAAAAGTTGCGAATTTTTCAAAATCGAACCTTGGTCGGTACGAAAATATCGAAATTTTTCGAATCGAACCTCAGTTCGCTTCGCAAATATCGAAACCTTTCGAAATCGAACCTAGGGTGGTTCGCGACATCCCTAATTCCTAATACATTTTTTTTTTCAAAACTTATTACTATCCGTTTTTTAGCGCTATATGCAGATAACTTTCTGTTGTAAATTCCTTTTACTGCAGGTCAAAGACGCCTTCGTAAAAATGCGCAGAAACGTTGTCGGTTGAAAAGTTATAGCACACTCTAAGAAATGCCTGCGCGTCTACTTACAGGCAAAATACTCAAAGAGCCAATCTCTCCGATCTACGAAATCAACTCAGCGAATGATGAGGCGGAACATCCGTTTAGATCTAAAAATTAAGTCTGCACTGTGGCATTACGCTTTGGCAGCACGACGCTTTGCACTGCGCAATGCCACAGCGCAGACTTCATTTTAATATCTAAACGGATATTCCGCCTCATCATTTCCTAAGCTGATTTCGTAGATCGCAGAGATTGGCTCTTAGAGTGTTTTGCGGGTAAGTAGACGCGCAGGCATTTCTTAAAGTGCAGTTGCATACCAACCAGTTATTCGCTATTAAAATATCAAGAACGAAATGCTCACCCTAGGCATCATTCGCCTTACAGCCGAAAATATGAGAGAAAAGTTTTCGTGGACAACATTCTGCTTTTTCCAGTAATTTCTGTACCTGGCCGCATACCTGAAATAGTCCAAAGAGTAAGCGAAAATTGCTCATTCGCAATATGCTGAATAGTATCGGAATACTGTACAATTATAGTCAAAGCGTCACTCAGTCGATGCAGCGTTCAATCAGGTGGGCTCTGTGTCAGGGTTATTCCAGTGCACAAAACCGGTGAGAATCAAAATTGTGCCAACTATGGTCCGCCTTCATTGACATGCACGTGCTGTAATCTTTTTGAACAGATAAGTGTGGGAGCGAGGGTCCACGCTCAGGGGCTGCTGTCGACCGCCCAAAGTGGACAACGTCCGAGGCGCACAACAGCGCATGTAGGACAGGCGCACGAGCCTGTAAAAGAGGGGACACGCCCACAGAAGAGGGGAGACGGACCGAGGGTCACGGAGGCGTGTAGACCGAATGCTACGGCCATGTTATACTTGAATACTAACAACCCTTTGCTGTTACCGCAATAAATGTAGTTTCTTGTTATGGAAACCCCGGCTTCGTGTTGTTGCTCCCGGACGGGCTTGCAGCAAGGCAAGCCTGTCACATGGCCCAACGTGCTCAATCTTCCGCGTCCCGCACTCTAACGGTTCCCGAAAAAGCGCCATTATATTGGCACCGCAAAAGATGGCAGCAGCGACCATTCGCGCCACACTGTCTTCACAAGTTAGACAGGTTCTTCAGACTAACACATGACATTCTGCGTTAACCCTGCCTTTTCCACGCCCGTATGTGTTCCGACACGATGGAAGATGCGCAGATAATTTTTCTAGACTTGAACGGGCATATTTTAAAATAATCGTTATTGCAAAGAGGTTAGTATAGGCTATTATTCTATATATCATCGTAGCTATTTTTGTTACTCTGAAAACCTTAGCTTGAAAATGAAAGTTCATCCTTTTCAAAAAAAAAAAAAAAAAGTATATCTAACTTACATGTACAAGAGGGCCAGTGCTGTCACCGCCAAGACAATCCAATCCGGAACGCCCAGAAATTTCATCTTCCACTCGTCGACTCCTTGCTGAGGTCACGCCGAAAAGAACTAATGATACGGAACGAGCTTCTCCAAATAGAAATTTGCGTTTCCGCTGCTCTTCGTTTTTGTAAAATAATTCTCAGATTCAAAGGGAACCGAGCTCGGCAGGAGAAATACACACAGAAATGAACGCAGCAACCGAAAACGCAGAGGCTACCCTCAAACGATGTGCACAGGTGCGCGGGACTGGAAAAGACAGCTGGGTGATTTCTGATAAGATCGACCAAAGGGTGGCTGGTCGACATTTTTAAATCAACTGATGTTTTTATATGACATTGTCTAGTGTCTGGTATAAACGAATCCACACTTAGTTTTGACCAGAAAAAAAATTTGGAGACAAGAAAAATCGTAAGGCAGGGAGAGGTGGACAGTTGCAATAACGCGCACTGATGGAGGGGGCAAGTTTGAAAGTGAATAATTAAAACAATAACATTAGGAGAATTTTAAAACTTTTTACAAACAAACTATGGGTACAACTTGCTTGTAATATAAAGTAATAATATTTATTAAAAATTTATTTAGTTTTCTAAAAATTGCCAAACATGCCTGCTCGAACGACAAATGGCAAACTTTGGAGGTCTGTATCTCATGAAATAATTTAATCATTATGATATAATTTGCAGATATTATTCTACTAATATATAGCTAATATTTAAAAAATAACTAAGGTATCTGTGTGATACAATAGTTAGGATATATTTAGTCAAACATGGAAAAAAAATCAAACAGAAAAATTCCGATGCAAATAAAAAAAAACACCACCCTCGATTTTTTTTAAATTTAGGTAACCTGTTATACTCTATTTCGGCATTCATTTCCATTAAAAACATGTTGCATCATTTTATTGAGAAAGAAGATACAACTCCCCAAAGTAGGGTCCTTTTTCAAAGCCTACACTTAGCAGAGAACTGACTCTGAGTTCCAGTTTCATGAAACCAACACACATCTTTTATATATATTTATTCAGATGAGGCCAATGATAACTAAAGAAATCGTTCACACACTTAAATTAAGGAGAAACTACTGTGTACAAAGAGGTATCATATTACGGACTAGTGATCCGAGAAAAGATCATGCAGCCATCTGCCACTAGGAACTTTGTTTACTTAATTCTCCTGCGACACTATATGCTATTCCCTCTTCCGCTCTACCTTCATCTCTCTCTCTCTCTCTCTCTCTCATATATATATCCCTGATATATATCCAGAACAAAAACATGTTCAAGCATTCCCTTTCTGCGTGGTAGTGTTCTGTGGCTAGCAAAAATCATTTCCTCGCTAAGCTCACGATTATGGCAAAATAGTTGCCGGAAACCGCAGACGACACTCGTCGCTAGTTCTGGCAAAACGGCCGATACAATCTTTTTTTCGCATTTCCCCGCTCGCTGTCAAGGACAAGGGGGTTCGCTTGAACCAGCAAAACATGGCCGCCGACGCCTGTTTACTGAGCAGTCATGCCTGTCGCCATCTCACTCGCTGGCGTCACGGGCGATAATATCAGGCACAAAGGGGCACACCAACCGGCAGCATTATCCCCAAATACTCGAGCCTCGCGTAAATACATAGAGTGTAAACGCTGTCGCCATGTTATCGTAGTAAGACCGCCCCCCCCCCCCCCTCCCCCAACGGGGGACTGCAGTACGCGACGGCGTACTAACACAACGGCGACGATATCGACATCGCGGGCTCCGAATTTTCCCATAGTTCTACTCCACGGGCATTTCTCGAAACGCTTGATATTGTGTACGCCCGCCTGGAAGGATTTCAGGCGCGTAGTTAAGATAAGGCGGTTCTCCGCGGCAAAAGAAAGCAATTTCACAAAAGCTTAAAAGCGGCGGCGACGCGTGTGCGGTGAACGCTTGTAGTTTTGGTGTAGACAGGGTGTGTGTGTTCTCGTTGTTGACACCAGCCGGCGATAAGGCACTCCAGGCGGTAGCTCAGTACAGCAAGGGCTAATCCGAGTGACCATCAACGTAACCCCACCACCAACCCCTCGCGAACCGGTCGCCGACATGGCTCAGGCTGTGCCATGAACCACGTGGTAGAAGCTCGGGTGCTTTCATATCAGCGCGTGGAGGGACGACAGTGCGATTCCGGAAAGTCTTTTTCGAAGGCCGCTGACCACAATTTTTTGTCTGGAGACTTTCCCTCTTTCTTCCTTTGACGTGGATCAAGCTTTGCCGACAGCCTCAGTTGTGACCTCTCTTTTCAAATGTACGTTTGCAGTGAGTGAGCTCCTCAGCCTCGGACTTGTCACTTGTGCACCCAGTAGTTCTTTCACTTGGCAATTATATGCCATCAGTTGGGGTTTAATTTCTATTATTTATGTATACATTATGAAGACGTCCTGGAGCTCCGAACGAGTGTTTTGTGCAGATTACTTTTGCAAACACAAAAAGACTATACCAAAGCAGCGAAATTTTCGAAGTGTTGGCGAGTTGGACCTAAACTCGTTGAAGCAAATTCTTCCGCCTGACTGTTCCACCAAAGTGAGTGCGACGGACTACCTGTGCTACCATTGCTTCATGCACATCACTAAGGAGATCTCGATGCGAAGCTCAGAGCAGTGCCCTGACATATTTGTGCCAGCTGAAGAAGCAATTGAAGATCTAAATCGCAGCATACTACCTACAGATATGTCGCCGCTGAGACAACCAAGCGTCGTAAGAAGTCGGGACAGGCCTGCCTATGTCAAGAGAAAGCAGACAGAACTGGAGCAGGTTGCTGTCAAGAATATACGCTCAAGGCTACGTATTGCGTACGACAGGGACGCACCATCGGGGTCGTCCGAACCAACATGCTGCACATGCACTGAGTGGGTGGACAACTTTCGGCAGGCCTTTGAAACCGCCACCTCTCTCCGGGAACGTTGTCAACTGCTTACACTCCTGCCGTCAACACTGACGAAGAATGAGGTTCAAAAGATGATTCCACAGGCCTCAATGTACCTCATCAGTAAATCCCGAAAACTAAAGGAAAAGCATGGCGTGTGGTATGAGCCGGATCCTTACACGAGGTGCAAGGTGAGCCCTGAGAACCTGTCTGCTGCCCTAGAGTACTTCACGAAAGACGAGCTACAATGTTCGCGCCAAAGTCCCAACCAGAAGGACGTCATCTCTGTCATGCTCAACGGAGAGAAAACGTTCGTGCCAAAGCGCTTCATGACACGCTCAATACGAGAGGCCTTCCGTATATACAAAGACAAGCATCCCGATTCCGGCGTTGGGCTAACGAAATTTTATTCGTTGCGCCCTAGATGGGTCCAATGTACTCCACACCAGGAAGTGTGCGTTTGTGTGCGCTGCGCCAATTATTATCTTTGTATTGCCGCTCTATAGAACGTTACAGGCTCAACATTCAACACTGGTGAAATGAACTCGGCATTTCTGTGCGACCCAGCAACAGAACTGTGCCTTCAAGGAGACTGTGATCACTGCCCAAAAGGCCAGTTTCTTACACTCCAGGAACTTGATATCCCGGAGGATGAAGAGATTGTGCTTGCAACATGGGAGTCCGGCGACCTTGTGAAAAAAACTTTGGAACCTGAGACTTTCCTAAAAGTCATCCAAGTGACGGTTGGAAGTTGGGTACTTCACAACCATATCCGGCAAACGCAAGGTAAAGCGATCTACGATGCAAAACAGTGCATGCAACGCGGGAGCATTGTCTTTCATTTTGACTTTGCTGAAAACTGGACCATCGTGCTTCCTGACGAAGTGCAAGCATATCACTGAAAAAAAAAAAAACAAGTTTCGATATTTACATGTGTAGTGACGACAAGAAAATCTACGAACAGCTTTGCTATCATCAGTGAGGACCTGTGTCACGACGCCGCTCACGCTTGCTTGGCTCTAGAAAAAGTGAAGGAGTGGGGGTTGAAGACAACGTTGCGGTATACTCGTACGTGACGTACGTAAGTGACGGCGCCGCCAGTCATTTCAAGAATCGCTACCAGCTTCACCAATTTGCAAAGGACGATTGCCCACAAGCCCAGTGGTTATTTTCTGCATCTGGACATGGGAAAAATGCATGTGACGGAGTTGGCGGACTCGTGAAGCACCAGGCCACGCTGAACAACCTGAGAGAACGTTCAGTAAGCGCAATTCAGACGGCCAGGACAATGGTGAGCGTTCTATCAAAGAAACTGAAAGGCGTGCATCTTGTATATCTGGACGAAAATGAGGTTGTTCGGTATCGTGAACAAAAAAAAGAAGAGTGGCTGACGGTGCGCGCCTTCCCTGGCATTCAGTCTTGGCACGCGTGGCGGCTCAGCAAGTCATCAACAGAAGGGACCTGTGACGTATATGTAGCACGGACAGTCGGATCTGCTTGGAAGCAACTTTATGAAATGGGTACAGCGAGGAAAACCTTAGCGTAAAGTGCCGAATTTGATTTCCCAAGGACTGCTCATTTTGAATGCAGGGACATCTTATTTATCACATTTTTCTTCACGGGGTATTTAACCTACTGTTTTTGTTGGTGGTTACTAATAATTTTTATCTGATCACTATAAAAAAAATCCCAAAATGTTATCCTCGAGCAGGATAAAATATATCGGCTTGCCACGATTCATTCATACACCGAGAGCATCGAAGCTGCTCCAGTTAGGCACTATGGCATCCGTCACCTGAAATTGTTTGTAATCGTAAATACACAGCCAACCTAAATATCTTACTATTATATCTTTGTTTTTGTGTGTGGAAGTAAAGTTATTTATTTTACTCTAGATGTAAAATATACCGGAAGGTACAACTTCACACTGCATCATCTTTTCTCAAATCATTAGTCTCTAATATGATACCACTTTGTACGCTTATGTAAAATGCTGTATATAGTTTCTCCTCCCTTTTACTGTGTGACCGATCGCTCTTTTTATCAATGACCTCATCTGAATAAATGTATATAAAAGATTTGTGCAAGTTTCATGAAACTGGAACTCAGAGTCACTTCTTGTATAGGACACTGCTAAGTGTAGGCTTTGAA